GTTTCGAGTTGCTTTTCATTCCAATGACCGAAGTTTTATTGCGCACGTCCTCGAAAAACACACGAAACCGCGTTGGTCGCAAGGCTGATGAAATAGCTCCATTCTTCGCGACCGCTCTCAGCTTTGGTCGGAATATATGTGATCCGCGTCATTTGGGAACAGTTTATAGTGTAAAACCTCGAGTAATTAAATCGCATCGAAGGCTTCTTCCGCAAAAAAGCACTAGCAAATCGTGACCTCAAATTACCTCGCATATTTCTTAGCAGACTCACCACTGCTGTCTGAGAGCTCCTAACAACTGAAGCCTTGGAGACGAACCTTAGGAACTGGCAGCAATAATTCACGGGGATTGATGGGGATTAGAAAAAGACTAGGATGTGACGAAGAACAACGAGTGCAAATGGACGAACCAGACATGTCGTCACTCGCTTTGCCGTGCACGGTCTTCACTATTGGCTCTGCGGGAAACCAGGTCCCCACGAGCCGGACGGTCTATGTAGGTGCGCTAGATGCGGAGAAATTCCTTTAGATACCATACCGCTCATCGTCTCCTAATACCGCCTTAAGGTATCTGGTAAATCCCTCAAATTAGTCTGATGAACTCGTATAATCCGTAGGACACAAGGTCTAACTAGATTCAACTTTCTAGGCACAAAGGGGACTTTAAACATCGGAAATTCGGTATGAACAACATATTATATATCACGAGACGATAAAGACATTATAACGCTTAGATGATATTGATTTTTTTTTATTTTCACAATAATCGAACGAACTGACCTATATAACATCTATTACTCATTTGGAATAAACCGCGATGCCCATTATTCTAACCAAACTGCGCAATCCGAAAAAAATATTTCGGCTTTTTGCTTGGAAATATAAGCTAAATGCTCCTGCGTCGAAGGGGCAGCAACGATGACATACGCTTTACAATATCTATTTTCATAGCGGAAATCCAGCACGCGATTGTGTGTGGATCGCGCAGAGGCAAACTGGCCGGAATCCTCAAAGCTCAGGCGATGGCTCTCAACTCCTGTTCCTTCCCTGTGAGTGACAAGACACACTAATGAGAGTCGGAGGGGGATTTGGCTCTGTGCGTGAATGTCAGGGCTCATCGAAATAAGCATAACATCAGATATGGTACGCAGTGATCACTCGTTCTCTGATTCTCAATGGGATGGCTCTGATATGAGTGTCTCTCGCTAGGTACAATGGCAGCGTGCTTAAAGCTGGTGCTGAAGGGCAGCTCTGGGAAAAGCGGCAGAGACTGAGTAATCGTAGATGGGAACGAAAATCGGAATTAAGGAAGGCAAGGCAGGGCAACTAGAATGAGACCTGATAGAAGTCCTTCACTCAAGCATCAAACAACATTGCGAACGCTTCCTGTCTGCAGATCGACTGTTACCGGCGAAGTTCCTTCTTCCTCGCTAAGATTTCGATGCGCACGAATCCCTAGCATTGTACAAAGAATATTTAGATCATCGGTTGCTTTTAGGCCCATAGCAAGATAAACAGGTTGTAGCGCCATCTAAGGACCTTTCGAGCTTGTCTATTCATAAATCAACTCAAGAAGTCTGTCTGCTGAGGTGGGTAGAGTGCGCGCTAGTTCCCGCTGAGATAGACATTTACTTGGTTAAATATCGGCTCTTCCCTCACCGAGCGGCTCCCTCTTGTACACTAATAGACCATACTCGGTACTCGTCGTTGAAGCCTGGCTTCGTTCAGGATTTCTTCCATCCGATCACGCTCCATCGTAGCTCAACGATGTCGAACAGTAGTGGTGATGCGATGGGAAAAGATCCTGGGGACGTAGAAGTTTTGCCAAAGTAACGCGCGCCAGGCCATCAACCGACAACGATAAGAGAAAGCAAGAAGCGCTTCTTGCCAAACACGCCAATCATAACGTGTTTTTTTATGTCGGCTGATTGAACTACTACTGGCCTGTGCGCGGACTGCTTGCTGTGTGGGTATATTGTGGCAAAAACGTCGACTTGGATGTTACAAGGACTCCTACCGTTTCTCTTGTTTGTCGTGTTGATATTACAGTTACTGCCACTGTGGAAGTTTAGATAAAAGTGTGTCTACTAGTGATGAGTCCTTTATTAGCAAAAGTTAAAGCAGCGTGTCAAAATTAACAAAACTAAGAGAAACATCAGTGGTTGAAGTCATACAAGCAAGGGAGTTGTAGGGAGAGAGAGAAGTGAGGCAAATTGCATCTTTTATTTAAATAGGGTGGAGATTGGAGTTACAAAGGCCAAGTTACTAAGCTGACATCGAGCCTCACGAGCCCTACAAAGGGTAAAGCTATGAGGTAGCTAGAAAGACAGTGCACTTTCTCAGTGCCTTATGGGCCACAGTGTGGCTTGTTCAATATCTCAGCGGGAGATGAAGAATACTCAGAATTAATGCCGGGTGCCGATGTGTTTGCCAGACGGAAAAACTTAGTGTGAGCAGAAACGGAAAAAGCCAGCTCGATTATCCGTGCGGGTGACGATGCATCGAGTCAACTTTTGTCGGCTATTCATTCAACTGCGGCCGAGTCAAATCCGAGAAAGGAACATACATCGTTCTAGTTGTTATCAGAATATCAACTTACCGTTATTGCAATAAATCTGTTGGTGACAACATATAAACAATCTATTGGTGTCCTGTATATAAATAATATACAAACATGCCCTGAAAATCTTTTCAATAGGTCTCCACTAATCCTTACATTAATTCAAAACTGAATAGTTCTTTTTTAATCCCGGTAGATTCATCGTACCTTAAAAACAGTAGTACGTTCCTAGATAGCACAAAACGCTCCAAAACGCGCATCTCTTTTGTTAGTTTAGACGAAAATCAGAACAAACGTCTTGTCGACTCCTGTCGTGCTTTGGGGCGGCGCACAAGAACAAAGTTGAGACGTATGTTAGTTTAGGCACAACCGTTGTGCGGCTGCCTGGCGCCCGGAAGTCTCAAGACGTGGCTAAGAAGCCGTAAGACCGGAAGCGGGTTGAAAGTGCCGGCGCGTCAGGAGGCGGAAGAATGCCTCGGAAGGCCCGAATCGTCAGTTGACCAAGAGGACGCATCGCCAGCGAACGTCGTCACAGTGGGAAATGATGCCAGAGTTAATGCATTTCGGGTAGCCATCTTTTAAGCGAAATTCGCTATTATATCACACTGATAATTTATGGAGGACTCTGCAGCTAGTTTTGTCAGAGGCATAAGGGATTAGGGGAGATCTAGATGTTGAACCTGCTATCTGTTGAATCTCTGGTTTTGCACTCGAATAGAATTTCGCGGTCAGACGCAGATATTGCTTTTACTCAAAGAAACAGTAATTACTACCAATAAAAAGAGTCGCTAACTTATTTTACACATTTTCTTAGGTGCATTACCAACGGCGATATGATTTTAAATTAAAAAAAAAAACATTATATAATTGAAATTTCTCTTATTACATTCTATGAAAAAAGTAGGGTTCGAACATACAAAGAACGAGCACTCCACGGCAATCTGTCATCGACAACATCAAACGTTGGCTAGCTTCCGAAAATTTTACGAAGCTTCTTATTCCGTACGTTTCTATGTTTTTCGATCGAATCCTTAATACGATCTAGATTTCTTCTACCCTGAGTGCAATATGCAGTTTGTTACAGTAACTTAACAATGTTAACTTAAGCAAAGCCGGTTGAAGCAAACCGACTAGATTAAAAATACGTTTGATTATCTATTACCTACAGACGGTTAGCAAGCTATGGACTCGCTCACGGTATCCATATATATAAATATTTGCAGAACTGTACGTAATTTCATACAATAAAAAGTGGGGAAGGATTGACGGCTTTAATGTGTCTATCAACCGGAAATTGAACCTAATGGTATTTTTCAACGGTATGCGCTCACCAAAAATGTTACAGCAATCCACAGTTCTCCTTAAAAAGATACCGCAATCGCCGTTCGTCGACAGAATCGATGAGGAGTTCTTAAGCTCGCTCAAGGCTTCGTTGCAACATATTGTGTATCCGATCAGCCAGGACAGCTCAGCACAAACGTCAGCTTCAGGACAAAGAAGAACATAGTATAGATACAATTTGGAAAGTCATACTCGCGATTATAATAGGCTATGCTAAGCAAAGGCCGCTTTTACAACGCAGGTATCAGTCTAAAGATCCGTATTAAAAGAGCGCTCCTCAAGTAGTTTTTCCCAGCAATATATAAAGGTTTCAATGGAGCCTATCAAAATTTAGAAGAAACGACAACTGTGTCACTTTTATTATCATTCAGCGGGCTCGCAGGTTCTTTCGAAGTACATAATAACCAAACACGACGGCAGCAATAACTGATGCTGATTGAAAACGTACAAACAGAAATACCCGCTATAGAATAGTCGAGTTTGACTGAGCCATAGATTTTGTCATCTGATTTATCATAGGCCAAATACGTACAAGCCAAATAAGATACGTTTGCAAATATTGTAAAACTAGGTGCCGTAGGTATCAGTCTGGCAAATATAGCAAAATCAGGTCAGTGAATCAGGCTGCTGGGTCAAATACCTGGCCTAGTTTTTTCACATGAGTTTGTTTTTATCCGATATGTTTACACCAAGTGGCTATGACTATTTGACTTCAGCGTCTAGCGGCCTCCTTCACCAAAACAATGTATATATATAAGCCTATTCAGTGAACCGTAATCAAGTGGAACTACTGGTGCGCCCAATTTTCAAATTCCCGGAAAAATCACGCAGGAGCAACCTGCATCATCCATAAATACGATAGCCTTGCCCGCTAACAGAACACATTGAAAGCAAGCTGTCGAACCTTCATCTTATCATTGGCATATATATCCTGCTAATAATTATCGAAACGAGCAGCAGCAGCAGCAGCAGCAGCTTAGAGAATCATGAGTATATGACAATACCAAACTGTAGTTAGAAAAAAAAACAGAAAAGAACGTTACTTTCGTTTGTGTTGCTTCTCATCGATTTTGGTCTGATGTACTTGCTCTTTTTTTAGAGAGGACTACTCGTTCCGAGTTGATCTGGAGTACGTCGGAGATGGTGCAAACAGCTCCTGGCAACAGGTCATCAATCTCGAATCGCAAAAGGCGTCATCTTGGAGAGATCTCACTGAACATGAAATTACGTTTTCCTGTCGTAATTTCGACCGCCCAGGCTATTACCAGGTATAACCCTATCATCTTACTGCACATTGAGGTAGAACTGAACCAAAAAGCTCTGTTTAAAGGAAGGGCAGGAAACGCGTGTCATCTCTACACTAGATACTATCAATTGGAGTACGTTACCATCGACATCTGCACAGAACGTATCGTAAATCATTCGAATTAATAATGATGATGATGATGATGATAAAGTGAGCTTTCTCGCACAAGCTAGCTTAAGAAATTACTTGCAGATTAAAGAAGGGGATGTTTTGACTAGTGAAAGGTTCAGTTCCAAGTTAAAGTCATACTTTTTATGAATAGTAATTATATTGAATATATATGGCCGCCAAAGATGACACGTCTATTAACAAAATTCGTTAAAACGCATGTTTCTGTTTAAAGGCAAGCAAAGGTGTCACATTTTGTATATATA